CCCCTTCTTTTGAACCACCAGTAAATGTATTTACCCCTTCTTTTAAAAACCACCAGTAAATGTAGTTACCCCTTCTTTTAAACAACCAGTAAATTAAATGTAGTTACCCCTTCTTTTAAACAACCAGTAAATTAAATGTAGTTACCCCTTCTCTTAAAAACCACCAGTAAATGTAGTTACCCCTTCTTCTTTTTTTCTTTTTTTTTTTTTCTTTTTTTTTCAAAAGACACATTTCATTATACAAAACCGGGAAACGGGCCCGGCGTCCCTCACATATGTGCGGGCGGCTCCTGATTATGAGCGAGGCATCACCGGCCGAGCCCATATCAGGAGTCGCAAAGTTCCCAAAAGAGGAAAAAGGGAAGAAGGCAACTATCTATTCCATTATGTATTCATTACTCGAACCAAAAACTAACCACGGATCAAAAGTCCGGAAGACTCATCTATTTGCACGGAAAGGTCGCCAAATCTCCAGAATACGAAAACAAAAAACCATTATTGACAACTTGAACTATAGTAAGTGAAACCACCAGTAAATTAAATGTAGTTACCCCTTCTGGCGAAAGTGGCAGCAGTTAACAGGCAGCAACAAGGATGAATGAACTGGCCACTATGGGAGCGGCCAAATTCATCCAACTAGAAACACTTCTACTGCAGGCAGCCTATATATGGGAAACCTTATTATTATTATTATTATTATGTTTTATTATTATTATTATTATTATTATGTTTTATTATTATTATTATTATTATTATGTTTTATTATTATTATTATTATTATTATTATTATTATTATTATTATTATTATTATTATTATTAAAGAAAATCACTCCAGTGGTTGAACCAGGGAATTCCTGGTGTGCGGCTCACATACACCCAGAAAAGATAGGAAAGTTCTGGAGTGAGTACAGTAGCCTCAGTAGGCATAAGTGCTCACATAGTACTCAGTCAACGGGGGAAAGTCAAAGAAAAAATAAAGCATTCATAATTATGGCATTGTTTTTTCTATCTGCCTATGCCACACTTCACAAGATCCCACTCATCACATCACACAGCATGTAGTACACATGACATGGAAGACACAAAACGGATTGCATAAACCAGGAAAGTTCTCGCTGGATGTTTTTTTTTTTTTTTTTTTTTTTTTTTTTTTTCCCGGGTCCGAGGACTCCCAGGTAATTTGGGGAAACTACGCGGGAGTCGCAAAAAACGAGTTATAATTGCAGTATGGGCCAAGATGCAGTTTCGAGTTGCAGTTCGGGCAATGAATACAATCCAGCTTTCTGGCCAGGTAGGGTGCCCAAAGTGCAATTGCAAACTGTATCTTGGCCCATATTGCAATTATAACTCCTTTTTGTGACCCCCGCGTTGGAAGTTACCTTTTTTTTTCTTTTCGGCACTGAGGTTATTTCTTTTTTTGGGGGGGGTAGCTTCAGTAGAGTGACAAAAACGAGTTATAATTGCACTATGGAGCAAGATACAATTTTGAAATTGCACGTGGCCAGAAAGCTAGGGTGCCCGGACCACTTCTTACTGCTCGGAACGGCGGCAAGACAAATGCCTGTCTCTCAAAAATACGCATATGCTGAAGAGACGCTGAGAGGAGGTATACTGTGGACTCTTTGGGACTTGAGGAACTCAGTGACAAGGAGAGGGGAAAAGCTGACCCCGCCGATGGTTCGAGCTGAAATCAAGTCTGCTATGAAGCAAACTATCTTGGCTGATCGGGAGCACCGGGTCCAACGATACAGCGATTTCGCAGGTCTTGGGATGAGTTTTCGGGTTTGTTTATGATCGAATGTTTGCCACAAAATCAACCTGTATTGCGCTTTTCTGGGTTCTTTTTGTAACAGTTGGTGGATTAGAAGAATGTTTGGATTTGGTGATAGATAGGTAGTATAGGTGGTGGAGTTTGAAGATGAGAAAAAAGGGGTAGCTTTTGCTTAGTCGTGGCCCTGGCTCTGCTTGGCCCGCGAGCCTTGCTCAGCCCGTTGCTGCGGTGAACTTTGTGAAGGATGCCAGGCCCGCTTCCTGGCTTTTGATAAATAATTACTCCTTTTTATCAAAAAAAAAAAAGAAAAAAAGAAAGCTAGGGTGCCCGAACTGCAATCCGAAACTGTACCTTAGCCCGGAGCGCAATTATAACTCGTTTTCGTGACTCCCACGTAGTTTCCCCTTTTTTGTTTTATAATAACAAGGGGCCTAGCTGAGGCTAGCTCCCCATAGCACAATTATAACTCTTTTTCGTGACTCCCACGTAGTTTCCCCTTTCTTGTTTTATAATAACAAGGGGCCTAGCTGAGGCTAGCTCCATTTTATCCATTCTGCGAAGAGCCAGCGCTGTTCCTTGTTCACCCGCAAGTCAGGAATTTACAATACAATTCAGTCATGCTTCTTCGTTTTTCATTTTTTATTTTATTTTATGTTTAAACCACCAGTACTTGGTCCAGCTATCAGTCATGCTTCTTCCTTTTTCTTTTTTTATTTTATTTTACGCTTAAACCACCAGTACTTGGCCCAGCTATAGGCTGCCAAAAAAATAGAGTAGAAACATTTCTACTTGGATGAATTTGGGCGCTCCTGTAGTGGCCCGTACAAAAAAAAAAAAAAATTGGCGCGCAGGGGCATTCCAGGCTCGGCATGGATAGCTGGGCCAAGTACTTGTGGTTTGAGGTTTGTTTTCGTTTTATTTGCTTTGTGAAACGAACCAGCTTTGGCCTGCAACTACCTTCTTTACCCGAATAGCTGCATTCGGCCCAACTTTCAGTCCCGATGCTGAAAGGAGCACCTTCCCCTGGTAGGCATCTGCCAATCGCTCCGATAAATTGGTATGGGGTGGCACCTGCAAAAAAAACGCGGGTCCAGTGTCCCAGATACATCCTTTTTTTTTTTTTTTTCAAAATGCCCCCTTCAGTGTCAGTGGTACTGGTAAGAGCAGACACCACTAGCACCTGGGGGGAGGCTCCTCCTTGATCTTTCCAGCATTCAAGTCTGAGTACCAGGGGGCTCGTATCAGGCCCTGGTTGTAGCAGTATTTGGCCCGGTTGTAGCGGAACGCTGTGTAGCATCGTGTTGGGGTTCGGTGACAACCCCCAGGCAAAAGTTGTTTGTATTACTATTTTACATAACAGAGAGTTCTCAGAAAAATCTCTGTTATGTGTACCAAGAGAGTTCTCAGAAAAATCTGAAAAACATATATGTTATGTAAAATAGTAATACAAACAACTTTTGCCTGGGGTCTGGTCCCACCTGTGTTGTTGAGAAAACTCAACGCCGAGTTTTCTATGACGAGCGACAACGTTCGACAGGATGTGGCCGTCGACAGGGCTGCGATCCCACGGTTGGAAGTATTTCGAAATGTTGAGGTCCTAGAATGATTTTTTTTTTTGTACAAGGACTTCGAATGGACTCCCTCAATGGAGGGAAGGCGGGATGGGCAAGTGCCACGGAGTTGAGAAAGCTACCCTCCACGGTCGAGGGTAGGTTTCTCAACATGGTCGATGAGAAATTTTGCGATTTTTGGAATTTTTAGTCGCCGTCTGCTGTTCCCCGTTTCTCGTATACTGTGTCAGGCACTTCGTCAGTGCAATGAAAGCCGTAACTGTCGTGCGTGGGCTCTATAAGGCCTGGCTCCGTTGCTCACCACATGCACAAACAAAAGAAAAAAGAAAGTCGATGTATGTTTTCGTGTTCTTAGCTATATTCATTGCTCTTTGGACCCACTTCGACGTCCTCGTGTTTCCACATCATGGGGCCTCGCTGCACTGCTCTCGACATGCACAAAAGACAAAAATCATGGCAGTGCATCTTTCCATATTCTAGGGGAAGATTCACTCTCGTTTTGCACATTTCGAGAGTAGTGCAGCCAGGCCCATATGGTACTTCAAGATACGCAGAATCCTCGACAGAAACCACTATTTTCGCATCATTTTCTTAAAATGAATAAAAACTGCTGGCACTTCAAGATACGCAGAATCCTCGACAGAAACCACTATTTTCGCATCATTTTCTTAAAATGAATAAAAACTGCTACGAATAAATCTGAAATGCATTTTTCGGATTTAAAAAATGCGGTAAATGGTGTCCACATCTGGCTTTCGTCCAGACCACCCTCAGCTTGTTCTGCAACAGGTCTGCAAAGTTAGCATCCGGTATCTCTTTTCCCAACCACTCACAGAGCTCCTTCCTCACCTCCCTCTTATCCACAGTAGTACAGAAGGGAAGTCTTACTATTAACCTAGTTCTTGGATTTATTCCCAGTCGCCATTTCAGTTCTCTGGAGATAATCCCTCGAACAATCTGTCTTCCTTTCTTTGTGTCGATACCTTTCAACCCTTTCAATAATCGACACAGCTCATCATAATGATTCCCTTTATGCCTTAGTTCCTTCCTTTTCCATGGTGCGCGTAGGAGCGTTAGGACCGCCGACTTCTTTCTGTCGGCGTTTGATTTATTCTTTACTAGACAGCCGATTGTCCAATTTCCTCCTTGCTCGATGATCTGCTTAGCATCTTTCAGAAAAAACTTCTCCCCCCCAGCAGTAATTTTACTATCCCCATATACCAACGAGATCACACGCCACCCATTTCCCCATTTGTTGCCCTCATTATTCGTTATGTGCAATGACCTTTTATTCTTCTTCGCTAGTTTAAAGATCCTCATCAGGTTCATCATTGGAACTATATCAAGTTCCTTCACAACGAAAATCAAGGGAATATCCACACGAGCATTCAACCCATTCGGAGAAGGTTGCTTGTGTCTCGCACGCCGAGGCTTACTCTTCTTCTTCTGCTTTTTCATATCAAGCCTAGGGTTCTCACCCCCGATTATCATCTTTTCTCGCTGAAGTAAGTCAGTCTTACCACCGAACCAAAGCGGGATCGGTGTATACGAAGCACAACCTCTCTTCCTCAGCCATTTATGGATTTTACACATAGACTTATTTTTTTATCCTAGTTTGTGCTCCAACCACCGCTCTCGGAGGCTACGCCCAGTCTGACCGACGTAAGTTGGTTTACAAAATGGCGAGATGTTGACATAGACACAGGATTCAACCGAGCAAATTCTACTCAGTTCGTCTTTACTTAAATTAAGCCATTATTTCACGAAAGTACGCCCCCAACTCAAGTATCCATACACGCACACAAAAATTGTTCCAAAACGGAAGGTCGACTTGACTTCGCTAATCAGCGTCCTATCTTCACCATCCGAGTCATGATCAGACCGTTCCAACCATCGACTCAGTCTCTTTGGAAAGCCGTAGTAGGCTCCGTTTAGAGATCTAGTTTCCAGCAACTTCGTCGTTGTCCTCGTCTTCTGTTTCTTCTTCATCGCCGTCAGCCTCGTTCTCGTCGTCAGCGTTTTCATCGTCAGCTTCCTCGTTAGTCAGATCCTTGTCTTCTTCTTCGGTGTTGTTGACCAATTTCGAAAATTGGTTTGTGTCCTGCTTCGCCAATTCCCATGCCCCTTTATCCTTCCTCTCACATCGCGCGTTCCTACTCTTACACAAGGCCTTGATCTCCTTGTACGTCTTGGTCATGTAGTAGTCCAACCTGCACCTCATATATTCCAACACCTCACTTTGCATCTCAGCTACCCTCCCTATGTCCTTCGTCACTCCGTCGCAAGTAACGGGTTCCTCCGTTCCTTTCCCGCTGCTTGTCTCTTCGACCACTGCTTCACTTTCGGCACAACTCTTGCTTGCCGCGTTTTGATTCAGCCCGGTCATTAGTGCCTGCAGCATTCCTTCAATTTCGTCTAGTTGCTTCCCGTCGGCCGTGTTAACAGCCATCTCATGCTTCTCATCCACGTGTGAGTTTGTTCTCGTCTTATCCCGACGGGAGTCTTCATCATCCGATAGATTAATGCGAAGTGACCACATCTTCAACTCTCCGCTCGCACTCTTCGATCTTGATTTCGATCTTGATCTGGAGATTGCTGGTCATCCAAATTCTCTCTTCCTCTTCTTATTACTCCCTCCATCCGTGGCCGGTTCCTCCTTTACCTTCTTCTTCCCCTTTTTGTCCAAAGCCACGGTCGTCTTCCTGTCGACATCTTCCAGTTTATCGGCGATCTTCTTCAAAGATCCGCCGAATGTACTGGCAATCCATGCTTTGATCCGAGCCTCACTGTCACTCACGCTGTCTTTCCCTTTCCCTTTCTTGCCACCTCCTCTCGATGACGTGGCAACGCTTGATTCTCCATGTGATGATTTCTTGGAATCTTCAGCGATGTCTCTTGTCTTCCACTTCTCTATCAGGTCCAAGTGCTCTTTCGTGAACCAAGCTCTTTGCCCTGGTCCAGGAAAAGAGTTAGCACTCGGTTGCCGCTGCCCATAATTCCACGATGGAGGAGGAGGCGGAGGTGTTGGCTGCTGCCATCCATATGGAAAGTAGCCCGAAGGTCCAGGTGGCAGCTGGATAGTCGGTTGCGCGGCTACTGGCGTCGCCACCATTTGCATTGGTTGGGCAGGTGTCTGGATGTTCGCCTGTACTGGCGTGCTCACCAGAGGTGTTTGTAAACCTGCCGGTGTCTCCATCCAGTACCTATTACACCCTGACCACCTTCCCCTGCTTCTGCCTTGTCCACGCCCGTACATACGCCCTGAATGTCGGCTCCCGTGTGCACCTCGATGATAAGCAACGCAACCAGACGACTGTCAGACAACTGTCAGACAACTCCTCGAAGTAGTAATTGCAACCACGACCTTGCTGAAATCGTCACAGTGACTGGCTATGTGCGCTCAACACCTTGCAATAAGAAAAATTATTAATTAATAATAATCACAACTGTTACACCGTCGGTCTGAAACCGACATCCACATGAGCATGAGCCGAAATAGCTCATGTACTTAGAATCTACATGCATGCACGACACGGTATGTCACGAGCAATACGCGCACCTCCGCACCGGCACCAGGTGAGCGTTCCAAAGCGCTACTGCAGAGTAGTTCACCTGGCTCATAAAGAGTTACTCAAATATAATGTAGTCAGAGTTTACATCTCACAGAAAAAACACATTACTCGATGGGCATACAACACTTGCCCATTACAACCCTTCTACTCCTTCTGCTCAAGCTGTAGCGAGTTCGACATCCCTCGCGATTATATACTGTTCCCTCCATCAAAAAATGTGCCGTCACGGACTCTATGCCATACGCAAAAATAAATTAAAAATTAAAATTAAAATTAAAATTAAAATTAAAATTAAAATTAAAATTAAAATTAAAATTAAAATAGAGAATAAAATAAATTAATAACTCAAAAGAACAGAACCAGAGAACGAAACAAATGCACAAAGACCAGCGGATGCCACCATGTCGTCATCAATTTTGTCGCGTAGCAGTTACCCCTTTCCAGAGTCATATGCGTTCGTCCAAGGATGTAAAAATCTGGTGTCCGAGATTGGGTCCGGGACTGCTTGGCCTCTTCCTAGCAAATTATGAACCTGGCACTGTATCTCCACCAGATTCCTTTTCCGGTAGGCCGTTCTTGCCAAGTGCTGAAAGTTTGGTCACCCAAAACCAAAAAGGGTTTTCACATGGGGGGTTTCCAACAATTATCCTTGATATGAGCATCCCCTTGAGAGGGTTCCAGGAGTGGAGGCTGAGAGGCTCCATCTATTGGTGGGGAGCAGCACATGCCGGGAATCGGGTCCAGCGTCCCTGATTTCCCTGTTGCCAGGGGATAAAATCCCAATGCATCTAGTCCTCCTTGCTAGTGGGGCCGTGCTTTGGGCTTCATAAAGAAAGGGAAATATGAAAAGTCAATTCAAGAGCGAGAAATGAAATTCAATTAACCCAGGTGGTTCACTTGTGCAGTCTTTTGGTGGGTACCAATATTAGAACCATGGCTATGCCGGACCCGGACCTGGACATTTCCGGACATGGAACCGGACCCGTGTCCAGTAGTTTCCGGACGTCCGCAATTCCGGACATTTCCGGACTCCGGACACGGGGATCCGGACAGTCTGGATGTCTGGACAGGTCCGGAAATGTCCGGACCATTAAAACAAAATAAACATAAAAAAATCTGAAAAAACAGTATGTTATGCAGAAGAACAATGCAAACCACTTTTGCCTCAGAGTCATGTCAGAATTCCTAATGCGAGGATTCGGTCCTCGGCAGGACTAAGGTGCCCCTGTTGCATCTGTGCCAGCCCTAAGTGAAGGCGGGCCTAACAAATCACGCCCTCAGCTGTCAATTTCGTATTTGGGGTCCAGGTAGTTGTGACGCGCCAGTTGGTTGAAAGGAAACACAGGCCGAGCAACAAAGATATTCCACGGCCTTCTGGGCTTTTCCAAGAATGCAGGCCCTGGGCGAGAATCTCAGCCTCATACACTGACAGTTGGGATGCCCAACCGAAAAAGGCCCAGTGGCTGCAACACAAGCGTAACATCCTGGGGCCTACCGGAAGCTTCTGGGCCCAGGCCAGTCCAGCCAGGCTGCGAAGGCAGGAGGCTCTTTCCATATAGGAAAGAGCTCGCCACCGGCAGCCACATTCAGGCACTCGCATGCTAGCGCCAGGGCTGCTGGAGCGGACGCTCGTGGGCTGCTGCTGGCGCTGAGAGGCGAGGTGCAAGCATTTGCGGTCGTGCAGGGAGCAGGGCGCTGCTGAGGGCAGCGCCATAGCCCAGCCTCCATAGCTGGCTGAGGGCTTGGTTGTACAGTGAGGCGCAGGGGTGGTCTTCGGGTGTACAAAGGGAGACGTGGGAATGGGACAAGGGAGAGAGAGAGAACGATGATGATGATGATGATGCGAGGGTACATACCTGGTATTGGCGATGGTCTTCATGGACGACATCTTCAAGTACTTAGGAGGCTGCTGACGTGAACAGTTGCATTGTCAATTAGTAGACTAGTAGTAGCTGTGTAGGGAGTAGGCTGGGCGCCGAGCGCCAAATAGGGAGATAGGGACTGGATACATATGTTGGTTGTGGCGAGAGCAAGCTCTCATTGGCATTGGTTTTCAGTGCTACGATTCTCCATTGGTGTCATATTGGTGCAATGCTGCTTTCTGAACATTGTGCTCTCATTGGCATTGGTTTTCAGTGCTACCATTCTCCATTGGTGTCATATTGGTGCAATGCTGATTTCTGAACATTGTGATACGATCTGGCTTTCAATGTGCTTGTGCAATCTGAATGTTGTCATCTCCCTATTGCTCATTTTCCTTGCACTAACTAAACTAAGCCTTGAGTTAAAAGTCAAAAACTATAAAAAGCTTATTTTTTTTTTTTTTTAACTAATAAAAGGTAATGAATTACTAATAATTAAAAAATTGGGGTTGTCTAATAAATTATTATAGAGAGAGAGCATGTCCGGACCCCCCAAAAAAGCACAAACGGGCCTGAAGAACCCCCAAAACAATTTTGGGGGCTTGGCTCCTCGATGGGGAAGGGTCCTGGACCGTTTTTTTTTTTTTTCCCCCTCAAAATTTGGTAGATCCGGACCTTCCAGACCGGAAGTCTGGAGACCAGACTGAATCCAGACCGTCTGGATGGTGGTCCGGAAGTCCGGATTGTAGCCATGATTAGAACCCAGATGAATAGAACAATGCTACTGTCTTTACCTGAATAGAACAGACAATCAGTTGATTTTGTTCGTTTGTTTGTTTGTGTGTGTGTGTGTGTGTGTGTGTGTGTGTGTGTGTTTGTGTGTGTTTGTGTGTGTGCGTCTGTGTATGCCGGGGGGAGTTCTGTTTTTTTTTTTTTTTTTTTTTTTTTTT